CCACTTTGCGATACAGTTGACTGCAGTGATATGGTGGGCTTGCTGATAAGACATTACAGTAACTTATCACAAGCAAGGCTGTACTGCACATCTTTCTCTGAGGGATACAGATCCCCTAGATCTGTTGATCTCAAGTTGTGCTCTGTAATAGAGCCTATTGAGATGCTTGCCAAAAAATACCAATGTCCAGGCCTTACTTTAGACCTACCAAAAGAGGATTTCTGGGGAAAGCCTCAGAATGTATATTTTTAATATACATTAGTATACATATTTAATGTATACGAAAGTATACATTAAACAGCACTGTTCACAATAGCAGAGACATGGAATCAACCAAAATGCCCATCAATCATTGACTGGATAAAGAAAATGTATTACATATACACCATGAAATAATATGCAGCCACAAAAAGGAATGAGATCATGTCCTTTGCAGGGACATGGATGGAGCTGAAAGCCATTATCCTCAGCAAACCAAACACCACATGTTCTCACTTATAAGTGGGGCCTGAACATTGAGAACACATGGACACAGGGAGGGGAACAACACACACTGGGGCCCATCAGGGGGTGGGGTGGGGGGAGTGGAGAGCACTCCCTAACATGAATACCAAACTCTTTATCATTTAGCCTCTGCATATATTTCCAGCTTCATCACTCATCACCCCTCTTATTTATTCCAGACATACTGAACTAACTGTAGATCTGGGTGGTCTTTAGACAGATTGACCCAGAAATACTTCATAATAATTTGAAAATGTACCTATCTTATGATTTTAAAATTCCACTTCTAAGAACATGTATACTTGAAGCAGTGGTTCTCAAACTTTGGTGTATATCAGAATTACCTGAAGAGTTAATAAAAACACAGAGATATCAAGTAGGTTGAAGGATAGGACTTGGCCTTTGTATTTTTATTAAGTGCCCTAGGTAATTCTGCAACCTTCCAAAGTTTAAGGGTCACTGCCTTAAAGCAGGGGCTGAGAAACTATAGCCTAAACATCAAATTCAGCTCTGACTGATTTTGTAAACCAGTATTTTTTAGAATACAGCCCACTAATTAGGTATTGTCTATGGCTCCATTTACACTACAGCAGTAGGGTTCAATAGCTACAGCAGAGATCAGAGATCATAAGGCTGCAACGCTGAAAATATTTACTATTATCCATCTACAGAAAAGTTTACTAAGCCTAGAGGAATACTTCACACTGAAAGACACATGTAAGGATATTCACTGTGGCAATGCTTGTCACAAAATAGCGAAATTTTGAAATACTCTTGAGGTACATAAATAGGCTAATAAATATACTAAGGATATATACATATAATGAAATGCTATATAACTGATAAAATTTACTAGATCTTTATTAACACGAATGGAATTAAGTAACAAGTAAAAGAATGATTTGTACAGTATGATAATGTTTTTTTTTTGAGACAGAGTCTTGCTCTGTCATACAGGCTGGAGTGCAATGGCACGATCTCAGCTCACCACAACCTCCGCCTCCTGGGTTCAAGTGATTCTCCTCCCTTAGCCTCCTGAGTAGCTGTAATTACAGGCATACGTCACCATGCCCAGCTAATTTTGCATTTTCAGTAGAGACAGGGTTTCTCCATGTTGGTCAGGCTGGTCTCAAACTTCTGACCTCAGGTGATCCACCCACCTCGGCCTCCCAAAGTGCTAGCATTACAGGCGTGAGCCACTGTGCCTGGCCTGTGATGCTTTTTATACACACAACATGTAGAAAGATATTAAAAAATAAACAAATAACATATACCAAATTCATGGTAGTCCTTGCCTATGAAGAGGAAGCAAAAAGAAGACAGAGAGGAAAACAAAAGGGATCTCAACTCTATAAATTGTTTTCATGAAGACATTTAAAGTCAAAAAGGGATACAGATCTGAAGATTTATTAATACTAAAATATGGAGTTGTTTGCCATAACATACTCTGTGGGTTTTGTTTAACTCAAAACCAGAAACAACCTAAACTACCCTGTTATAGGGAAAAGTAATTGAACATTAGCATTCCAATACAATGGAACATAATATAGCCTTGAAAAATCCACATGAAGAGAACATAAGAAATAATTGACTTAATTATCCTGATTAGCATAGGATTCAAAATTGTCCATGCAGTAAGGCTATAATGATATTTTAAACAACAAAAACTAGCTGTAATCCTTTTTCACTTTGTTTATTTGTTGGCTGACTTATTTATTTGATTGTTCTTTTTAATCAATATATATGCATATAAAAATTACTAAAAACAGAACTGTCAACAGTGAATATGTTTGATTTTATGCTATTCTTTTTCTTTGCCTTTTATTTTCCAAATAATATCAACTGAATACATATTACTTTAAAATGAAATGCCTTCATTTGAAATAACCTTGTGTGTGGCAGATACAGCCAACTGTATGCCCACAATCCATTCTTCTCTTCTTCCTATATATTCAGTAAAACACTACATTTCCCAGCCTCTCATGCACATGAAGGTGGCCATATGATATAGTTCTAATTCCCAATGAAATGTTAAGGGGAATAACTGGGTGCAGCATGTTAGAAAGCTCTTTGAAGGGGATTAGACCTGACTTGCCTTCACCTTTGCCATTTCGCCTTCACCTACTTCTTTTTTTGAATGAGCATGTGAAGCAGGTGAGAAGATGATGCAGCCATCTTTAAACATGAGGACAAAAGCCACTAACAAACAGATGGCAGAGTAGAAACTCAGGAAGCCTGGATTCCTCAAGGTATTACAGAGCCACTGCACCACCTCTGGACTGCAAGCCTCTAATACTTTCTGTTACATGAGGAAAAAAAAAGGAAAAAATGCTTTACTTGTTTAAGCCTTTCGCTTATATTCTGCCAAATGCAACCCTTAATTGATACATCATGCTAAAATAAAATTTTAATAAATTACCCTACCGAAAGAGACTTAGAAGATAATATAATCTATCTTCTCTTCTGAAGAGAAAAGCAAACCTCAAGAAAGAAAAGGTTGGAGGCACCAATTTAATATCAGAACAAAGACTAAAGCTTGACTCTCACTTATATGAATAATTTTTTCCAAAATATTAAAATCACAGTGAACTTTACATTTCAAAATGGCTGAAACAGGCTGAGTGTCGTGGCTCACACCTGTAATCCCAGTACTTTGGGAGGCGAGGCAGGTGGTTTGCTTGAGTTCAGGAGTTCGAGACCAGCTTGGGACACATGGTGAAACTTCGTCTCTACTAAAAATACAATAATTAGCCAGGCATGGTGGTGTGAGCCTGTAGTCCCAGCTATTCAGGTGGGAGGACTGCTTGAGGTCAGCAGAAGAAGGTTGTAGTGAGCCAAGATTGGTCCACTGTACTCCAGCCTGGGTGACAGAGTGAGACCCTCTCTCAAAAAAAAAAAAAAAAAAAAAAAGCTGAATGGTAAATTTTACATTATGTATATTTACCGCAATAAAAAACAGATAAAATTATATTAAAATCAACTTTAATGATCTAGTTTAAAAATAACATTTTATATATTTTTGTCAAATAACATTTAAAATATTAGACATATACTAGTCAGCAACGAGTGCCAATCCTTTTGCTACCCATAAGCAAATCTGCAGTTTGAAGTTACTCAAAATTAGTATTCAAACTAACACATCAATTTCATAAGCATGTCTGTACAGATTACTCCTAAACACTAAACAACCTACAACAAGAATAAAGAATCAGGAAATTTACAGATGCTGCTTGAGTTCGTACTCTACCCCACAAAAGCAACTAATTTAAGCCCTTTTCCCTAACTCAATCTAATAGGAAAGCAAAAATATGTCTACATTACACAATTATATATCTGAATTTCACAAATGTTATTCTTTATATCAAAGAATAAGACTTAGTATATCTTGTGTCCTTAGCTAAGAGGGTCTCTTGACTGGATATAGGATTTTTGGATCCCAATATTTTTTGCTCAACATTTGGACACTTCTATCTCTGACTCCTTGGCTAGATTTCTAATCTCTGCTGCTTAGACACACACCCCTCTTGGATTCATGAGTATCAAATACTCATGAAAGCATCTGTCCAGAGAATAGAAACAGAACTGCTTCTATTTATACTGAACTTTCATTCTCTTTCCTTTCTGCTTGGTCTGTGGTCTTACTTTTCATTGTGCTAACATTTCTTCAGTCCTTTACTGCAAAGAAATATAATTATCTGTCTCTGGATCTAAATTATTAAACCTCTTAGAGAACCACATTTTCTTCAAAAATAGCACAAATACATCAGGGAAAATAAATGTATTTTTGCCAGAATGAATATGTTCCAGAGTCTCAGGTAGTAGTTGGAAAAATCAATTAGATATGATATCCTTAGATATGCCTTAAGATATTTTGCCAAGTCATACCAGCACTTGTTGCTATTCTCTTGAGTTAGGACTGAGCCTCAGTTCTCAAGAAGCAGGTAGATAGAATATTTTATATCCAGTAGGTAGTAATACAATTCTACCTACAATTAAGAAAAGGCACTAAGCTTAACATAGCCCTAGCAGTAATTTTCAAATGCCACAAGAGGGCGATACAACTCTATGAGTGGGGGAGGGGGGAGGGAAACAAACAATTTTCCAAATTAAAAAATTCCTGACTTTTCCAAGATAAGGAAATAAAGGCATGTTTGGATTGAAAATAACAAGCGTGCAAAAACCCTTATTTCTCCTCGAGTCATTATTAGCAAAAACACAATATTCGTCTATATCTTTCACTGAAGGTTGGCAGTGATTCAAAAAGCAATATCCATACATGCTCTGCTCCTCTGGACGCCTGTGAATATAGCTGGCGACTTAGGGCTTTACCTGTAGCTACTCAAAAATTATTTCTTGTTACTTCAAACAGGTGCCCTGAAAAAAGTATTTTATTTGGACCTTGCCCTAGTCTTCAAACTTCCGTTTGAAATATGTCCAGAAAAAATAGACACAATTTCCTTTAATTATTCTTTATGCTTAACCATATTTTTACTCACCACTGGCATTCGTTCATAGACACGAATAGAAGATAGTCTATCTACAATAAATCAAATATGAGTACTTAATATTTTATCAGTTTTAACTCAACTTATAAAACATACATGATTGGTTTTGTACCTGAAGAGTTTCCATGGATTTTTTCTATTTTCTCCTTGAGAGAAACAATTTGCTTTTCTAGTTGATCATTTAATTCAAGTTGTGTCTCATAACGGGTTTTCCATTCACTACCTGAGTAAAAACGGGGAAAAAAATCAAGATCACCCACCACCTGTTATTTATTCATTAAAAAAAACATGAAGAACTTGACCTTACTCTATTACTATACTTGCCTTTATTGGCAATACCGATCAACTGGAAGGAAATAATTATCAAGTCTGTATTTCTGTTAGTAAGATTTTCCAGATTGCAAGAATTAGACCCACACTCAGGCTACCACACAGCCACACCTTATCACAACTACTGTGATTCCTGTTCTTCCTCACTTCCTCCTTTTTTCTTTTACTTCCTTGTGCATCCTTACAATGAATTCAATTAGAGGGAATAACAGGACCATGTTTCTTTCTGTGGAACTTGAAATACCCATATATATATAAAATATTCATGTATTTCATATATATCTCACATATATATAGAGATCCATAAATATATATGGATATTTCAAGTTCCAAGGAAACTTGAAATAGCTATTTTTTATTCTTATATATATTTATATATATAGTATGTATATAAAATATCCAAAACAGCACTAATCTATCCAGTGTCATGTTCACTTTTTTCCTTTGAAAGCAATTCTGAAGTCTACTTTATAACTGTCACTTATATGTCTGCTATGTGTAAAGCATACAATGCTTTACATACATTAACTAATTTAATCCTCATTTTAGAAACTTAGTTACCTATTTTACAAAGATGAGGAAACCAAGGCTTAAAGATGTCAAATAACATTCTTAAGATGGCACAGCTAATAAATAAGTAAACTGGGTTTTAAATCCAGTTTTATCTGCCTTTGAAATCATATCCTCTTAACTGCTAAGCTGAAGGAACATATGCATTTAGCTATCTTCTCAGGCATTTTCTCTTAACCTTAAGCAATTTTCTTTCACTAAATCCCTTTGGCTATTAAAGTCAAAGCATTTTTATTATGTCTGGGGAAAAAGGAGAATACAGCCTAGAATTAAAAGGTCTTTGTTCAGATTCAAAGCCCAAAGCTAACTTCTTCAAGTCTTTAAAGTCAGGCTTTGTAGAGAGCAAAAAGATGGCTTCTTTTTCAACTCTAAATGCTCTTTACATTCTGAAAAAAATTGCTGCTTCATAACAGTTGGTGGAAGAATTAAGGAGAATGAGTATCAGCACGTACCACTCCGAGCCTCTTCAGCCCTGACACAGGTCCCCCTTACAACCTCATCTATATGCAAATGCGGTCTACCAAAGAAAGGGGCTGGGCTTGAACACCTTCCCACACTAAAACTGAAAGTCATTAACCCAAAAGCTTTAGAAAGGAACAAGAAGAAAGGAGAAGCCATGAAAGACTTCTAAACTTTTATCCAAAAAATAAAGTAGAGCCCAACTTTATGGAGTCATCTTTATAACTTGCTACCTAAAGTCTCTTGTTATGGTATCTCCTTTCCTACCATGGGAATGGACGCTTCAGAGCAAGATGAAAATGATTACCAAAAAATTTAAAATGCAATTGATTTTTGGCACATCTGAGTAGAGTTTATAAATTTTGACCCCATTTTATTTTAAAGTATTATTGACTTTTAAGTTAGATTATCAAATATAGACAAGCCAGTCAGGCACAGTGGCTCACACCTGTAATTTCACCAATTTGTGAGGCTGAGGCGGGCGGATCACTTGAGGTCAGGAGTTTGAGTACAGCCTGGCCAATGTAGTGAAACCCAACCTCCACTAAAAAGTACAAAAATTAGCCGGGCATGGTGGCAGGCACCTGCAATCCCACCTACTCGGGAGGCTGAAGGAGAATCGCTTGAACCCGGAAGGCAGAGGTTGCTGTGAGCTGAGATTGTGTCACTACAGCCTGTGCAACATAGTGTGACTACATCTCAAAAAAAAAAATAAACAGATAGATGATAGATACACCTATTAGTACACAGTTGTAACCAACTGCAATCCAGCTGCTTGCCACTTGCAGAGTCCAATTAATAAGAGCAACGTCTGGTATAAAGTGACTTTATGAACCCCAACATCAATATGGGACAACACAAAAGATCCAACATAGCCACCAAAACAAAGCCACACAGACTTTATAACCAGCACAACTCCTGCATGCCTTCCATATCAAATTTCCCCTTGTAAGCTCCCTTCCTTTTCCCTTTCCTCTTCCTGCCTATAAAACCTGACCTAGACATTGGACATGGTTATTTTGGATGGGAATCTGGCCACTTCTCCACTATTAGTTTTGGTCAATGAAATCACTTTTGCTCTACCAGACTTAGCTCTTGTTAATTGAACTATGCAATCAGTGCTTACAATTGTCGGTTACAATTTTAGCGTCCCGTATGGGGAGTGCTGTATTCTGTGGGGTCTGAGCTTGCCAATCTGGTTTCTATCAGATGGGGCATAGGGCCACCTGTGAATACTAGTTGCTGGTGGCTAGCTGACCCATGGCTAGGATATTAGGGAATTTCTCAGCAGTTGCTGAGAATCCGTCTTAGGGATCCTCTCTTTTCTTCCTACTATGGTGCCTGCTACCTTCAATGCTTCACTGGTGCAAAAGAAGTTAACAAACTTTAGAACTAGCTGCATTAGTCAGGGTGTACTCAACCACCCTCTGCCTCTCTTAGGTGTTGCTGGGGCTCTGCTTTATTTAGACTTGGCTGCCAGTAACACCATATTAGCATTTTTGGCATTGGTATTTGTTTGTATTTGCCACTGCACCCTTGGGCGTTTGCTCAGTTCTGACTCAGTTGCCAGGGAGAGGCATTTGAAACTGAAATGAGGGATTTGGGAGTCTACACAGCCCTTTAACCAGGGATTTGTTTGGAGGCACACCACTTGTTTGTCCGAGTGTGAGATGTTTGTGCACCCTGATCTCTCTCTCTTTCCCTTGTTCTATCTTCACCATCCTGATTATCTCAGAAGCCATCTACAGCCTTACTCTTCTCAGCCAAAACCGCCCTTAGTTCCCTCTGGCTGGAAACAGTTTACCTTGACTGGTGTCTTGAGGAAACGGGAGGGATTCATACCACACCCTGCAGGTCTGGGGTGCTGAGGCTCTCCCTAAGAGGAGATAAACAAGAGAGGTAGGGGTACTGTGCGGCAGCTGGAAGGCTCATAAACCTCCCTTCCTGCATGTAAAACCTGACCTCCTTTCTACTCTCCATTCCTTTCTTTTTCTCTTTTCCTGTTCAAACCAGGAAACCAGTACTGAAGAGGAAAAAGCTTTCAACATCCTGGCCCCTGATTTTGTCCTCCTCTTTGGGACTTCAGCTGATTACATATGGCCCATTTTTGTGTACATTTTAAACTGATGGGTCAATTACAGCAAGAAAAATTTAGAGCTCAAATTTAGTTATCCTGAAGCTATAGAGTTAAGTAAAGTCTTCTAAAGCTCTCTATCTTCCTCTTTTCTGCCTGCTTTAAATCTGCTGTTACTAAGCTGCTGGTGCTAAGACTCATTTATGGTCTAACTAGAATGTAATCACGGGAAAGTTGTTTGAAACGAAAAGAAAAAAACAAGGGTAAAAAGGGTTTGAAAAAATGCCATAGAGACTGCTTTGTCCAAAATTTTGGTTCACAGATTTCCTTGGATTACCTATTAGGGCAAACAAAGTTTAAGCATGGGAACAGGTTCCAATTTTGTCAGAAAAAGAACTATCTTTTGTAGGTCTGTGAGTTTGGGATGCTGTCTCATGGCTAGAGTTCCAAGGTAAAAGCTATTGGATCTTTCTTTGTGCATGTAGGTATACATGTTTAGATACATTTATGTAACATTCATATATTATGTTCTGTGCCATGTCTAGCATGCTACCAAATTGGCTTGTAAGTAAATGAGTACTCAAAAATTAAGTCCAAATGGTTTTCAAGATCATGTGAATCTTTAATAAATAAAACTGGTTTTAAAATTACTAAAATAAAAATGTCTTCAGAATTGTCTGCATACATTTTTGCCTGAGTTTATTGACTAAGTGGTTTTATCTTTGTATCAGTGTGTATACTAAGGTGTCAAGAGTTGACATAAAAGTTCTAAGACTAAACTCAGCCAAAAACAGAATAATCTTTGTGTATTTTTTGACAAGTAGGACTAATTTAAGATTGTTAGTTCAATGAAACAGCTAAATCTTCTGAGTCATCAGCAAATGCATTTAACTTTAAGTTTCTTAGGTGTTCACCATTTAATGTTCAGACTTTAAACATAGTTAATAGGGAAATAACTTTAAATAATGATTAGTTTGGGGTAATATCTCAGTTTTCAAAAGTAATCTAGATAAACTATTAAAAAATGAAAAAAGTGAATACATGTAAATGAGACTAATGCTTCTAAGTGGATTTTTATATAATTTAAAATCTTAAAAATATTTTGAATTAAATAATAGATGCTCCAATCCAATAGATAATAATTGGATTTCTGGAACATTTCCAATTAAGATAATATGAGAAAACATATTTCTAAAATTGTAGAATGGTTTCATCCAAAAAATGCTAACACCTGATAAATACTTCAGGATTTCTTGCTTCCTAAGTTTTCACTAAAATTTAAGGTTACTAAGAATAAGAATTCTAATATATAATTCTGTAAGTTGTGTTCTTTTTTAAAAAGAATAATTTAAATAATTCAAAGGTTATTTAAAAGTTATAAAAGAAGGTGAAAAGAATTAGTGACTAGGGGAGAGATATAAAGTTGTGTATATAAAAATGTATTTATAATAAAAAGGTTATAAAGAAAAGCAAATAATTTTACATGAGAAAAAAAATTTATATAGTGAATTCTTATCCTAAATAAAATGGCTGGTTAGTCAGAAAAGAGAAAATTTTTAGGACCAGTCAGAAAGTCCAAGCATGTAATAAATGGTATGTGCAAGTTATGATAAGGTTTGTAAAAGGAAAACTATAAAAGATATTTTATATATTAAGTTGGCTATAATTAAAAGGAAATTATTTTTAATTAGTCTCTAAGATTGACCCCCTAAGACAAGGTTTTCTTAAGGTATTACTTTTCTCTTAATAAAATTACAAGAGATTTTTAAAATTTTGTAATCTGTTTCTTT